CACCCTTGAATTGTTGAAATACAGACCACAGTTCGACGCCCTAGGGAACTGAACACACAAAAACTCAAACATTTGGACCATTTCTCGATTTGTGCGTGTCATCCTTGCGTATGGGCCATGTACCTTTCACGAGGTCGATTTCGTCCGTGCGATCACGCAATGGAAATCGATTGTGCCATATGAAATTCAATAGGCTGCTCCAAAAAGGAGCTAACCTAAGTGGCACGGGATCACGCTCGATTCTAGTGTTTGCTGGGTGAAAGTCTTGCACGTCAACCTACAAGGCTAGCTCCTGTTTTACATCAAACATGGGCGACTCTTCCTTATGAAGAGCCCAAGCCCATCGTTTGTGGCCAGCCCACGGCCTGACATACTTCTGCTTGCCCCCGCTAGTCAAACGACTGGCCGCCAACCCCCAAAGCAAAATATGACCCATCCTAACAGGCTAGGATGTAGGCCCTCCAATTCGCTGTTGCCGATTTTTTTTTTTTTTTTTTTTTTTTTAATTTTAAACACCCCCTACAATGCTAGTGCTGCTAGTAAAAGCAGGCACCGCTAGCACTTGGAGAGAGGCTCCGTCTATTGGTGGGGAGCATCACCTGCTGGAAAACGGGTCCAACGTCCCTTACACAGAATGAATAAAGTGTCGGGACATACAACTGAGGGAAGAAGATGCCAAGGAGGAGGATGAGAAAATGTTTGTCAGCATTGATTACTCTAACATACAAAGGATTGATTGTGCAGGTTCTTGGGAGATGGCAGGGAACCTCATCACCCTAGGCCGAGCGCCAAATGCCTGCTGTTAAGAAACTAGTTCCGTCCTCCTCCAAATACCCTTGACCAAGTGTCATTTTCCAGCTACCAGTCTGCCAACATTGATTGTCCTGATTACCAGGGGATTAACTGAGCAGTGATGTATCTTGTGGATGAGCAAGGATCTGATAAGCACTGTCTGGGGTGCACCGGGGAGGCTTATCTCATTCCTGCCTAATCCAATATTAGGTGAAGACTCCCATCAGAGCAAGGAAGTGAGGGGGAAACGGGTCCAGGAAATCAGACGGGGTTCTCATCGGGAAAGATTAATCCATATGATTCCAGTCATTAAAAACGAGTTCATAGTCTCTCGAGATTTCTTGTTCTGTTGTAGCTGCCTGATTTTCTGTCCACTCAATTTGAGTCATCCATCCGCCCCGATCTCCCTCTAACCACTCCCTGCAGGAACCCATAATCGACCTCTTAATATCCTCATCCGTCTGAAAGATATCTAACTGTGACTTAAGATCCCTCCATCTATGTCTTATCTCTAATTGTACCAGCTCCCTTATTTATTCTGTTAATTCACCTTCGATTTCAACTTCTTCAAAAAATAAGAGGCAGCGCTGCCACCAAAGCGCCCATAGGATGGATCGTCTACCCAAGCTGTACAAATTGCTGGCATAGGTAGGGGTGTTTTCCAGTGTTGGGCAGTGTCCTGTCAATATGGATTGCCAATACCATGGCCAAGGGGTGTCCAGTATCATTTTCCTCCAGATGCGGTCCCACCACCGCCATGTCGGCAAAGTTACCGGGCGCTGCATAAAAATATGTTCAATGATTTCATTTCTTTTTTGCATTGGGAAGGCAGACAAGCATCGATGGCACCACGGGAGCACTTTGCCTTTCTGTTCTAGGTGTGTGTGCTCAATTAGCCAGGCATTCGTCGACATGCAGCAATGAGCAATCTGCCATTGTAAGGAGGTATTTTTTTGGGTCTCGCTTTGCTTCCATTAAACCACTTAATTGGCTTAAGAAGGGTCCAATCCATGTTCAAATGATTAGCCCATCTGTCGTTGATTTGATCGATTAGCACTCTCTTGGCTTTGAGCAGCTTATACATGGATTTGACAAATATGGTGTTAAGGTGAACTTTTTTTTCGGTTGCCTCTGTTGTTCCTTGGGTCGTCTGCCATCGACATTCCTCAAGGTCAAAAGGCAGCCCATTTATAGATGTTTGGGGAGAGAAGACGATGAAATCCTGCCCCTCTTATAGCACACGCACTCGAAACACCTCATCCCGCTTTCGGGACAGGAACCCTAACAAGGATATCTGCCCTGTATTTTCAATGTCGGACGATGTTCGAATTCTGAAATAAGTTTTGTTTGAAAATATTTTGTCTGATGAAGTGAAAACGCTACTGAAAGGTATTCTGACTTGTCTGCGATTGAAGAAATCTAATTTATGTATCCGTCTATCTGCCAACAGACATAACGAAAATGGTAGACGGTGTAGTCGAGCACTCGTACGTTGAAATAAGGCCGAAAAGAGAGAGACGACGGTGAAAACACTAAAATAAATATCGTTTTGACCAAAATTAGCCGCACCAGGGGTGCGACGTCGGATGGAAGGACTAACACGGTCAAAAGTGTCGTGTCATTCCTAAAGGAAACGGACCGTCAAGGGTCCGAGCTCAAACCTATGACTAAAGGGGGATTGTCGGGCCTACGAGATCAAGCCTAGCCCGCATGATGGCGTGGCGACTACCTTGAGAAGGGGTAGGCAGACTGCATCTACTCAAACCAGGGGAAGGCACGACTTCGCCTGCCTAAGCCAGGAAATAGGCGGCCTACTGAACTGCAACCCTTCAAATAGAAGGGTGGCAGGCATAGCTATCGTGATAGGAGCTAGCCCAGTAGGTATTGCATTGAACTTTCACCCAGCAAACGCTGGGATCGAGCCTGATGACGCTAGAGGGAGAGCTAGCTCCTTTTTGGAGTTGCCCGTCGTATAGGCCTGAATCAGGCGGCCTACTGGGTTGCAGCCCTTCAAATAGAAGGGCAACAGGTACAACTCCCGTGATAGGAGCCAGCCTAGTAGGTACCGCATTCGAACTTTCACCCAGCAGATACTAGGATCGAGCCTTATGAGGTACTTCCTAGGCTATCTTTTTTTTGGAGCTGCCCATCTTATAAGCAAGAAAACGCGACCATTTTCGGCCGCAAGAGCACCGGATCTCACGGTAAAAAACGGCCGCACTGATACAGCATGGCCCTGCGCAAGGATGACATGCATAATTGAGAACTGACCCAAAATGTTTTTTTCGATTCCCCGATAGGAATCGAACTTGGGTCTCCTCATCGGAAAAAGGAGGGGAGGTACCAACAAGCCACGATACGTGCAACCGTGGCCGTTGACCTATGCCAACGACACTTTTAACGACGATCGTTGGCCTGTGCCAAAAAAATCGGGATGGGAGTTGGGAGAGGTCGGGATGGGAGTAAGCGAAGGAAGGAAAGGGGGGAGAGGTCGGGATAGGGAGGGGAAGTGGTCGGGATCGGAATCGGGAAGGGGAAGGGCGTCGGAAAAAGAAAGAGGTTGGGATAGGGGAAAGGTAGAGATGATAGAGGAAAGGGGGAAGATGTTGGGATGGGAGGTCGGGATAGGAGTCGGGAGAGCTCGCGATAGGGGAGAGATAGACGCGATGAGGGGGAAACGTTTGAAGACAGGAAAGAAAGAGAGGAATCAAGATACGGGAGACGTAGAGATGATGAAGGAAGAGGTAGGCGAAAGAGGGCAAGGGGGAAGAGGTTGGCAGAAGAGGTCGGGATGGGCAGGGCGAGAGGTCGAGATGGGAGTCGAGGGGGACAATCCCGGGATAGAGGAGGGGGGATAGTGGTTGGGATAGGGGAGAGGGAGAGGCAATGAAGGGAAAGGTTGGCGAAGGATGGGAGGTCGGGATCAAAGTCGGGATACGGGAAGGGGGGAGAGGTCGGGATGGGAAGGGGGCGAGGTCGGGATGGGAGTCGGAAAGTGGAAGGGCATTAGAGGAAGGAAAAGAGGAAAGGGAGAAGAGAGAAGAGGTCGAGATGGGAAGGGGGAGAAGTCGGGATGGGAGTCGAGAAGGGGAAGGGGGACCTCTTCTCGCCGCGGGCGAAGTCGCGATGGGTCCACTTGTTATTTTTAAGCCAAGAATACAGAAAATGGCACTGTCATCATGGCGCAAGTGTGAAACTCGCAATGAATGCACCGTGGCAGTGACAGCGCCACGGATGTCATAACCACAGAGGCATGCCGTGGTGTTAGACAGGAAAGGGCAGGAAGGGGGTAAAAGGGGGGGGGGGGGGGGATGGCCAACGGTTCTATTTCAAGTTTCAACTGAAATTGCGAGTTTCAAACTCGCACTGCGGCCACAGTGCCATTCAGTGTAGTCCTGCCTATTTCCACCTAAAACTGTGACTCAGAAGCAGTTTTTCCTTTTTTCTTTCTTTTTTTTTTGTGACAGCTATGGGCGTCGTTAGACACTCCTTACGAGTTCCTTGAGCCACAATGAGCCACAAGGAAATTTCATTGTGGCTCTTAAGGGAAATTTGCGGCGTAGTTTCACTCATCCTTGGGGACCTCCCCTGAGGATGTTTTCTTGTGGCGTGCCCGCGACCGTTTTCATATGGAAATTAGTGGCCGCGGGGTCGGTCGTCCGTGGTCCACCATCTTTTTGTCCGTGTGGAGGCGGACTGGTCCAGCGACGTGTGGCGGGAAACGGCACAAGTCGGGCGATTCAAATTTTGAGTGACGGTTGCGACGATGACAAGGATGTGCGGCTGGCGGCGCGAAAACGGCGTACTGCTGAAACGGACTCAGCAGTGGCGTCCCTTCTGTCCCCCGACCGTTGTGAGTGCGCAGGCGTCGTTGGGTACGTCCATCGCCGTCGACTGTCTTCCACATCGACTGCGCCGTCAAACACATTTCCGTCGGCCCCTGCTCCTCGTCGACGGGCACCCCTCCATCCTCACTGCCCATGGATTCCCCTCCAGCCCCCGCGCCTGCCGGCATCTGAACCCTCCCCCCCCACCCTCCTTGTCCGCCAAATTCTTTGGGTCAATCGTGTGATCCCCCTTCGTCATGGCCTCCATCTCCTCACACACGTTCCGGTCCATGACGAAGTTGAAGCCCTTCGATCTCATGGCCGATGAAGCAAGCTTGAAGTAGTCCTTTCCGCCGGAGAGGTGCTGAAACTTGTGAACCTTCTTGAATTGCTGCATTAGTTGTCCCATTTCTTCCCGCAGTCGATTGCCTTCCTCGTGACGCCTATCTTCTGCAACCTCGATCGCACGTCCTCCCACTTACATTCCCTGGCCTTCATGCGGACGAAATTGTGCCCCATGCCTCCGAAATACAGATCTTGATCCCTTTTTGCCCTCACGAGTGCAATCGTGTCTCCGACCGACCAGAAATTTCAAGCGCCTTCGTCATCGCTCCCGCTGGGCCGCCGGTGTCATCGTCCATTTTCTTATTCCGCTGATTTCTCGGAATGAAACCCTTTTTCACACTCGCACCGCCGCTCCTCACCTTCCTCCCAAGGGGCCGAATCTCAGGCAAATCGTCGGAGTTGCAATCCTCCTCACCGTCAACGTTGTCGCAGTTGAGGGGCTCCTGAACAGCCGCATCTTCGCCTTCATCAACGTGGAGCCCTTGCACCCCTCTCGTTATTGTGTCCGTTCCAGCTTGACGCAAGGTCTGCCTGCACTCTTCCCACAGTTGCCTGCCGTGGCATTCTACGTGCGCCTGCCGTAGACGCGTCCTCCTGTCGTTGCCGTCCACGCGGAGTCCCAGATCTGCTTCACAACGCAGGTGATAAGCGCATCCATTCCGAACGTTGATCCACACCGGCTCCTCCTCTACCCTACGTCGATGTCACATTTCAATTCCTGCCGCCTTCGCAAAGTGATTGAGGTAGCCCATCATCTCGCGGCCCGCACAGACCAACTATCGTCTGCTCTGCGCAATCCCCATCTGGGCGGGGATTGATGATACGAGTATATGTCGCCACTTTTTCGCTGTTGCTCGACATCTGGAAGCTCAGATTGACCGATGCATTGCTATCGTCGTCGCACAACCCCTCGTTCAGCAATGACGTGTAAGACCACGGGGTCTCCGCCCGCCTGCCACCATACGACTGTGTCGCCGCCCAATCCTGCGTAGAAGCACTTCTCAACGGCACAGTTGACGACTTAACATCTTCCCCCTCGTCATCCGACGGCGACAGAGAAATCTCATTCGAAGGCAGGTGAGCATACAACGTTGGGTCGTACGCTTGCTTGGCCACAGACCCCGCAGTGGGTTGTCGATTGCTCACTCCTGCTGTCGTGCCTGCCGGTCTGCCATTGGTCAATCGTCGATCCATCCTGTCGTCGTTCTTGGAAGATCTCCCTTTGTGAGTTGCGACAGGGAGCAGGCCGACAAAACACACGTGGAAGAAGACAACGATGACAAGCAGCACGATGATGAGGAGTAGCAGAGGCAGCCTGTGCAGCAAGTCCGCCATGTAAGGGCCGTGGAAAGGGCAGCAACTCCACTTCAGTGGTCAACCATCCAACGAAGAACTCCGTCGAGAGAAAAAAACGCGAGGGAAGATCTATGCTCCGACGTGCAAGGCGTGACGACAACCGACGAAAACGACGATCTTCCAAAATAAAACTGTCATATTCGAACACAGCGCCGATGCGAAAAAGCATTCGAATTTCGGACCGTTGTCGACAATCTCCCAGCGCAGCAGACCGCATGACATCGGCCGGCGACGACCGATTCGTCGAACGGAGGCCTCACGCGGACGGTGACCGTTTGGAACTATTGGGGTGCCGCCCAGACGGTGGAGGGCAGGGATGTTCGTGCTCCCGTTCGGCGGACCACGTCTGGACCACCCTCAAACCGGAATTGTGCGTCGACACATGACTTCACCACTCCGAATTTCGTGCTTCCTTGTGCTCCGAGGGACCTCGGGAGGTCCCTTGGGGATCAGGAGAAATTGGCTGTAGCCACAAGGACGCCACAAGGAAATTTCCTTGTGCTTCGTCCCCGAGGACAGGTGGAATGAGCACTTCCTTGTGGATTTTGGGTCCCTGAGGAGTGTCTAACAACGCCCTATGTCGCGCGGCGCCCTGTGTGACAAGGCACAATAGTGGGGCTTTCATTCTGGCATGCATGGCACACCAAATGAACCCGTCCAGCACCAAACAGGCATAGCTCAGTTAGTGCAACAATGAACTGTTCAAATATAAATCCAAGTTCAAGAGTCCAGATGCAATCAAAACCATTAAATATAACGAAAGGACCCATGTGGAGGCACACCGTCACTGTTGTTTGACTAGGTGCACCGATGAGCACACGCCGTGGAGCACGATGGATTCTTTCGGCTCCACAGATGCACTTCAATAAAGTTGGGGACTTTCTTACTCAATTTCGTAATGAATTGTGATATTGCAAGGAAAATTCAGCGATAACGAAATGCTACCTGCTTCCCCCGAATACAGCGTACGGTCATTATAGCCATATCTAAACTGAAAGATGCCTCAAATACAGCTATAATGACCCTACGTTGTAATCGGGGGAAGAAGGTAGAGTTCCAGATTGCAAAATCACAAAGATAGCCAGATAGTTGAAAGCTGTCCAGAAAGCAGAAATGCACTGATATCACACCGAAGAAGAAACAAAGCAGCGATCTCAATTGTCAATGAAAGCATACTCTCGCCACCATCAACAAAGTCTTTGACACCCTTCTTCCTACTTGGCACTCAGCGCCCACACTACGATCACACAGCGACAAAATTAGCCTTCCCAAATGACGAAGCAACCAGTTGACATCAGCAGCAGCGAACGAAGTACTTGCAGATGTCGACCATGCAGACCTGCGCCAGGTATGTACTCTCACATCATCCCCCTCATTTCTCTTTTTCTCACTCACCCTTGTCTTCTTCCCCCCACGTCTCCACTCTGCCCGAAGACCACCACCACCTCTGCTGACCTTCGTCCAAGCCAAGCCCAGCTATGGGGGCTTGGCTACGGCGCTGCCTTCTTCCAGCGCCCTCTCTCCCACGCGTCCGGGCTTGTGTTCTCACGCACCCAGCACTAGCAGGCACACGCAAGCTCACGCTCCAGCAGCGCTGCCGCTTGCACTAGACAGTGCCCGAATGCCCTTCTCGCTGCCTTCCCCTTTCCTAAATGATAAGACGGCAGGCTCACTTCCCTTCTGGCCTCGGGTGCACGCGTCTCCAGACTATGAAAAAAAGTAGATAGAAGATATGGAAACAGTTTTAACAAGTACGTCAGCAATCAATTTGTCTCGTAAAAAATTAAAACAAATATCTTTGCCGGATCAATGTAACGCAATTATTTCAGGATGCGCCAAAGTGTCTGCGCCCAGTCCCATTCAGACACTGGCCTGGGACCTGCCTGGAGGTGCCTGGTCTCAAGCTAGATCCATGTACAGCCAGGGGGTCCAGCGCTTGTAAAACGCTGGACCCTCAGGAACAGCAAATTTTGACGAGTTTTCGGCCAAAAAACTCCGTTTTAATTTCGTTCAAAAAATAAAAAATGTCCATTTTGACGAAATGGTCCTGGCACGCACAATCGCGCAGTGTTACCTGCTTCTCCCCTCGCTCCTGGAAGAACCGACAAGGCTCACAAATATTTCTGATTCTCACGAGCAAGGCAGATATAACCAAATGGCGTGTGGGAACTGTCTGGCACACATAAAGACTTTGCAAATTTGACAAAGTCAGGGCACGTGAAATTTCAGGGGACCCACCTTCACTTAGGGCCGGCATGTGCTCTCTGCACGGGCCTTGTGCAGGTATGCCAAGGGTGAAAAATTAAATTCCTCGCAATACTGTTGACTTGGAAAAAAACAACAAAACGTTGGGCACTTTGGTCGAAAGAACCCCGGTGGAACAACCCCACTGGAGCACTTTACCCAAATCCCCAAAAGCGAAATATTTGCAGCAAAGGGCCAGTCACACACAAAACTTTCACAGACGGAACTGACTGGACTGACCCTAATTACAGCTGCACCTGGATCTGCTAGACCGCAATTAGATCCACAGGTCAGTGGGCACTGAATGTATTTAGCTGCACCTTTTTTTCTCCTGCGGATTGCGTTTCCAGGCTGGAAGAGAAGTGCATCATAAATGCTGGTGGTTTAAGTAGCTCTGTTGTATACGCGGCTTTAAGTTCAATTGCCCGAACTCCAACCAATAACGTCATGCTGCAGCATATATCCAGGATTGCCTGAACATCAGTCATGGATTGCACCCAGGATTCATCTTCCTCCCTCCTCAAAGCTGGTTCGGCCTGACAAGAAGGGGACCAAAGGGGCACAAAGCGAAAAAAAAACAAAAACAAAAAAAAACAGTCTCAGCCAGGATGAAAAAAAAGAAGTTTCCAACACTTTGGGGACCCGTTTGGTACCTTTTTGGGCCAGGGACGCTGGACCCGTTTTCCAGCAGGTGATGCTCCCTACCAATAGATGGAGCCTCTCCTCAGGTGCTAGTGGTGTCTGCTCTTACCAGCACCATTAGCACTGGAAGGGAGTTTATTAAGAAAACAAAAACCAACAAACAAAACGAAAAAAAAAGAAAAAAAAAAACGTTTTGGGCCATGTCTGGCCTTCTAGAACCCTCTGGAACACTCTTGGAGCACTCTTGGAACCTTCTGAAACCTGTCGGGATATCAGGACCTTTTGCGTACAAAAAGCCAAGAGACGATTACTCGGGGATGCAAAAAAAAGAAAAAAAAAAAAAAAAAAAAAAAAGAAAAAAAAAAAAAAAGAAAAGAAACACCAGCAATGGTCAACCGTTCGAAGAACAAACAAACATATGACGTGCACCATACCTTAAACCACCGGTACCCCAGGGGGTTTTAGACCCCCTCTGGGGAGGCTTTGACGCAACTGCATATGGACCCGCACGGCGCACGGATTCAGGCACCTCGTTAATGGCCTAAGAATGTGAAGTTACTGGTGGTTTAATGGGGAAGAAAGATGTTTCAGGCTTTAGGTGTTGGATACGAAGGCCCAATAAAGACATAGTCAAAACATCAGTACACGCACCAGTACTTGGCCCAGCTATCGGCCGTGGGAAAAAAATAGTAGAAACGTTTCTAGTTGGATGAATTTGGGCGCTCCTGTAGTGTCCCGTACGTTTCCTAAAATCGTGGCGCGTTAGCGGGCACGACTTTAGGAAGTACTGGTGGTTTAAGCCTTGCACGAGCCTAGAAACTCCCTGCTCGCCCAAACAAAGCGAACTGGCGCGTTTTCTTGTTGGCTTAGGCCCTTTCAGGGTTTACCACTGAGGTTAGCCTGCGTCCTGAAAGGCGCACTGCATTAGCCGCGGCGCTTTGTAATTCAGAAGGAATTTTGAATTTTTGCTCTTATGATCTGCTGGACGACCTGTTGCAGCATTGCTTGCACGGAAACAGGAGGGAATACCACCAAACCTTTTTCCTTTCTTTTGCTGTGAGCCCTTTCGTAGAGAAGCCGTTAAAACACCAGTACACCACACAATGGCCCGCGGGTGTCAGCACGAAACCCGTACCACTTCGGAGGCCACTGATTTTCTTTTTCAACGGTGCCCCATGCCGCACGGCCCCTCCGAGTTTTGCTCGTGGCGACAAGAACTTTCTGCAAGGCTGGGGCCGCTTACTTGCGATTTAAACCACCAGTAGTTCCTAAAGTCTCGCCCGTTAACAAGCCACAATTTTAGAAAACGTACACGCCACTACAGGAGCGCCCTGATTCATCCGACTAGACGCCTTTCTACTCTATTTTTTTCCACGGCCCATAGCTGGGCCAAGTACTGGTGGTTTAACTTCTCTGGATCGTCCCTTGTTTCGCGCTCTGTGAAATGACCCACACAGCTGAAGTTGGAGAACACTGAACTTTTCAGCGGAAAGGCGGTCCGGTTGATCTGTTTTCTCAAGATGCCCATTCTGATCCAGTTTGCAATGTTTTCTGAATACGCTTGTGATCAATAGATCTTGAACGGATGCCACGTGCTTACCTGCTGAATTTTGACTCTTTCTGTGTGTGTGTGTGTGTGTGTGTGTGTGTGTGTGTGTGTGTGTGCAAGTGCATGTATGTATGTGTGCGTGTCAGACTCGGCTTGGTGGGGCGAGATGGTGCGATTGAGAATCGACCGGGGGCAGCCCGAGATGTCGTCATTGAGAATTGGTTGGGTGGAGTTATTGAAAGTCCCTTTCAAAAATTATAGGACTGCCATTGTTGCTAAGCAGGTCTTCAAAGGTATGAATGCAGTCGTCAAGACCCAATCTGATTGGCAGTTGCTGTTCACCCAGATGAGTTGCGGGAAGTAGCGTTG